TAAGGGCAAAATAGTTTCTGCTGGGTATTGAGGGGGTGGGGGGAGAGAGGGAGGGGGCGGAGTGGGTGGTAAGGGAGGGGGTGGGGGCAGGGGGGAAAATGACCCAAGCATTGTATGCACATATGAATAATAAAACAATTTAAAAAAAAGGCTAATATTAAAAATTAGTTACTATTTATTACTAAATAGTCACATCATATAAGGTATGAAAGCATGTGTACATAGAACCAAATACACATATATGTGTGTGTATATATATATATATATGTATGTATATTACAAAGCACATTTTTAAAGGTGAAGAAGAGGAAAGATGCATAAATCTGTATTGCTTACAGGAAAAAGAAGACAAAAGAGAAATAAAGATAGCTTATTCAAATGTAAAATTATCCCTAATACTTTAAAAATAATCAAGAAAAGGTCAGATGTGGTAGTGAATGCCTGCAATCCTAGCTACTTGGGAGCCAGAGATAGAAGGACTACAGTTCAAGGCCAGCCTGGGCAAATAGAAAAAAAAATTAGCAAGCCCCTGTCTCAAAAAACAGTCTGGGTATGGTAGTGCACATCTGTAATCTCAGCTATTTGGGAGGTGGAGGTAGGAGAATTGCAGTCTGAGTCAACCAAGGCAAAGCCTGAGATCTTATCTGAAAAATAACTAAAGCAAAAAGGGCGGGAAGTGTGTGGCTCGAGTAGTACAATACTTGCCTAGCAAGCACAAGACCCAGAGTTCAAAACCACAGTAATCACCCCTCAAAAAAAAAAATCAAGAAAAATACTATTAATCATTTGTATCTTAATTAAAACTAATACTACCATAGGTTTAACTGGATGAAAATTCAAGAAAAATATGAAAACTGTGTCTTAACAATTCAGATTTTTAAATTAAAACTGCTATATAATCATGGGTCAACTTCTAACTTTGCATTATGGAAGTTCAGAGAAAAGTAAATGCCTACATGGTACCTATAGCCTCTATCACTACATCTATACTCATTCACCCATCACAGTCCTAGCTTTACTGCCAGCTCTTAAGACCAAAACAAGCTGCTTCTCCCAAAACAAAAAAGAACACTGACACCCTATGTGTTAGTCAGTCTTTGTATCACTGTTTCAAAATACCTGACACAAACAACTTAACAGAGGAAAGATTTATTTCAGCTCAGGGTTTTAGTCCATCAGGGTGGGGAGGACGTGGCAGAGTAGCTCACATCATGGTAGACAGGAAGCAGAGTGAAGAAGCAACAAGAAGGAGCCAGGGCAAGATCTAGGTCCCAAGGACACACCCAGTGATCTATTTCCTCCAACCATACCCCATCTTCCACAGTTCCACCATCTGCCAATAGTCTATTGAAACCATCAATGGATTGAACCATTGACTAGCTCAGAGCCCTCATGGTCTAATTGTCTATAGCGGTGCCATCACAGAACACCCAGAGGTGTTCTTCAAAAATCTCTCTCAGTTCTATCACATTGGCAATCAAGATTAATCATCACATCCTGCTTCCCAGTCTTAAGTAAGCACTCAGTAAGACTCAGTAAGACAACAACCATCACACCATCACTTAGCTAGCAGTCACCGTATGCTAGGCAATGTCCCATTCATTCCCCACAGCAATGTGATCAGTCACATGGGAGAAGTCAAGGAAGACAGAATAGGTAGTCAGGACAACACCAGCCAGGAGCCACATAGCTGGGACACGCAGAAGTAGTGAAGGAAGAGAATAATTCTGCAGTCTGGCAAAGACTCTTGCACCAGCCAGCTGAGGAACAAAAGCACCACCCAAGTGCAGCACTTCACCCTAATGTCAAGGAGGCCATCAGGGCAGGAAACAGTGAAGCCACTACAATGAGATTTGTGTAAGTGGCAGGAGAGAAGCAGATCTGTTAAAGAAACCAAATACTTCTGTGCTTCCAAGTAGTCCCAAACAATGAAAGGCAAAGTATGTAAAAAGTTGTTAATGAAAAGAGAAAATGCCAAATAATGAGTATAGGAAAATGGAAAATGGCTGGTACCCACTGAGCAGGTCACGCTGTATGAGAGTAAGCTCACACTAAAGCAGCTGTTCAAATAGTTAGGCAGATTCTGAGTCAATGAAGAAGCAAGGCAAGTAGCAAGGGATGCACCGGCCTAACGTGGAGCCCCCAGACAACATCTGGTGTGAGTTGATAAAAGGATCTCAAGGGACCCTTTCACTTGCTAAACATCACTGACAAGAAACAGTCACTAGAGTGAGAAGGCTTCGTTAACTAAATTCCTGCATAAATTCAACATTGTAGAGAAACTTTTATAACATGAACATCTTTCCTACAAATAGTGCCAAGACCCAAGTTTGAAAGAAAAGAACACTAACAAATATTCCTGATTACACAAGGGATGGATCAGAACCATGCTTGTGGGAGCAAGAGAAAAAAGGGAGAAATATAACCAAAGGCTCTTGAGCATGAATGCAAAGAAAACTGTTCCAAGATAAGGAGATGAAAAAGAACTTGAACACGGATTTAAATAATCAGATCCCAACAAGCTTTCAGTACTGTTTAAATTATAAACTATCAGTATAGTCTCTAAAATACATCTTCATATGCACATATATAAGGGCCTAAAGAATTAAAGTTAATAGTCTTCAGATTTAAGGAGCCACTCATAAAGGGAAAAAGTGATTGAAAAATTCATATACAGAACACAACCAAAAAAGAAAAGAAAATGGCTATACCATCCCTGTGTCCAGTAAAGTATTCCTCAGCAGAAAATCTCCTGAAAGTTTTGCTGGGGGCTGACTTCCAGCAGAGAGGTGAACCAGTATGAGAAATACTGGGGTGCTGCTGAGATCACAAATCAGACCTGGGCTTGAAATCTGATGGGCAAGGTAAAATCTACCTCTGCAGAAGGATGTGCCTCTGACCAGAGTCAGGCAAGCAAGCACACTTGGCAGAACCACCTCAGTTTTTATCCCTAACACCCCTTGCTCTAAGGGAGGGAGCTTGGTTTCATGTCTTCACAACTGACTAAGGCTGAGGTTTAGGGGAAGGCATAGAGGAAGAACAGAGCATGGACACAAAACTTTAATTTGGTTGGTGTACTCAAAGACAAAGGGGTGACCCATGAGGTGGGAATTCTAGGATTCTGGGGAAATTGAGGCCTGAAACGACTGTTTGACCTGAAATGGCAGCACCAAGTATATAATTAACCCATGGGCCAAGAGGACCTTCAAGCAGAAATTCCTTTGCACAATGATTATCTTAAAGCTAGCAGTTTGCATTTTAGGATATCCAATGATAAGTAATTCTCTGTTTAAAAGCAGAAACTTTACAGTTAGGCAATGTGCCACAGAGCACACAGGCAACTGGGGAAATTAGCTAATATCAACACAATGATAGACATATTCCACAGTGTGATATCAGGTGGGGGATGGGAGAGAGGGTTTGAACTCATGACCCTGAGATTAAGAGTCTCATGCTCTACCGACTGAGCTAACCCTTTGACAGAAAAGACCCAATTTAGTTAGCTCTCACACCAGGGAACAGAGATGTTAAAAGTTTCAAACTGATTCAACCACCTTCTTTCACATGTATGATTAACCCATTTCATTTTCCTACAAATCCTCATGCCTCTGAGCAAGCACATAAAGAGATGCAAAGGAGAGGTGGAACCCTCCACAGATCAGGGCATGCTCTGGTTTTGGAATGGGACATTGGGCTCACAGGTCAGGAATTTACAGGAAGCCCTCTCAGGTCCATGTTTTCTTGTACTGCAGCCTGCAGTCCCTGTCTATGCATAGGGACACTCTGAGGACTGGGCTAGGACTGTGTAAGTAAAGCTCTTGACACAGTACCTAGCCAAACTAAGCACATGAAAACACACTATTATTTCAAGGCTGATGCAACACTTCTGTACTAATCAACTGTTAGTTAAGATCAAAATTTAGCAACTTCATTTATTAGTAACACACAAAGAGGGAAATTATATTTTTGTTTTTCACCTAAGAGCTCTTTAATAATGCTAATATGCCTTAAGCTTCAAGTACACCAGCTATTCTCATTATGAACAAGGACTTTCACCTGGGTTTGCCCATGTCCCCTGAATAGAAGGTAACTGACTAACATTCTGGGTTCCTGGAGGTCTCTTCCTCAGCAATGGTGCAGTGAAAGGCACACGAACACAATGTGCCTCAGCCGATGGCATTCTGCCTCATCCACACTGGCCCCCAAGCAGACAGCAGAGATGGGATCATCAGAGGCTTTATTTTTAAAAGATGAGGAAGGTACCATACCTCTAATCGCTGGATCCGTCCCTTGAAAAACATAAAGAGGGAAGAATTTGGATAAGCAGCTTCTTTTTTGAGAAGAATTTCCTTAGCTTCATCCAGGCCTGCTTTGTTATCACTGCCATCCAAGGCAAAGAACGGGCGGACTACAGTATGATACCAGAGTAGAGCTAATCTGCGGGAGAGAGAGACACTGAGCCAAAGAGTTCTCTGAGATTGTTGTTATTTTCCAAAACAAAAAAATCAGAATCTGCTCTTCTAATTCACATTCTTTTCAAAAAACTTAATATACAGTCTTCAAAGAAGTACAATCAGAGAGTGTTTTCCTCCTTTAATTTTGTCAGTGTTTAGAAAACTGCCAGTTGAGCACAAGGTATAAATCACATACTCTCTACCATGAGAGAAGAGAACAGAGTGACAGAAACATACAGCCTTTCTGAAGCTTCTAGATGGACTGCTCAAGACATGCGTGATGTAAATCTCTGAATTCTGTACCTCAGTCATCAATGCACAGATCAGGAACAGTGAGCATGCACCATGAACTAATTGTTCCCTCAGAATAAAAGCTTTTACTTTTTGAAAGGAAAATGTACCTTTCTTTTGCATTCATAAAAGTTAGGGGGTAAGTTTAAAAAGCCAAACTTACAGAATCCACAGTTACAAATTATATTAAATTGAGATAAAGTAAATGAGAACAGACAAGGATCCTTTCTCCAGCCTTAGAAAATGCCCAACTCAAAATAAATAAAGAACTTAAAATTCCCTTACTTCAAACTCATTAAAGAAAAATGTCATGTTAAACTTAGGTAAACAGAACAGAGTCATTGAGATCTGCTTTAATGAACAGATAAAAATGTTTAGCCAGCACATCAAGTATCTTATGTAAATGTAAACTTCTAGTGTGCTCATAAATTTAAGACTCTGATGGAGATCATACTAACTTACAATATTAATTCCATTCATTCCTTTGTCAGAGAGGCACAACATAACGTTAAGATATAAACAGAGAAAATGATCACTAGTTACAAGCCTACTGATACTAGTTAAAAAAGAACCACTGCTGGTATAATTTAATGAGTTTGGGTAGGTACACAGTGTTTTCAAATGAAAAATTAATGATTTTATATAACTATTACCTAATTAAGAGTTAATATCCAAACTCCTCAGTCCTGAGATGTACAGAAGTACATCTCACTACAGCCTTTGTAAAAGCAACATATTTTTGGAGATTTCTAACAAGTAGTGTCATATCAAAGAAACAGCTCTAATGGCAAATGGCAGATATTTTCCAGATTAAGTAGCAGACCACATCTCTTTGAACTGATGTGGAAACAGCTAAGTCCTGGCTCTGGAGTGTTACTCCAGCTTCCCTGCGCTCTCCTATTTAAGTAATTGTCATTAAGGTTTACACTGAGCCGCACCACACAGCGGACTAGCATGAGATAGACAAGCCACACGCAACCAGCCAACTGACCAATGAGAATCAGCAAGAAAAATTATTCAACCCAGGGATTCTTTGTAAGAACAAAAATCAGAACCACAGAAAAAGCCTTTCAAATTCATATCTTATAAGTCTAAAAATCCAGATGGTGCATCTTGGTGACTGTGATCACAATCACAAAAACTGCTTATAAAATCACTGGAGGATAAAAGATAAGGTCACCTTACCTCATTAAAATACAGAATTAATGAAACTTAAGTAACAGTGCCTTCTCTTTGACTGAGGTCAGCTTACAACTACCTCCACCAGAACAGAACACAGTCCTTGGTGTTGCAATAAAGGCACATCATTGTGTCAAGCAACCAGGAATTATTCCTGAAATTCTCTTTAAAATCTGATTGTTGTTTCCTTACTTCAACACTATATTATCTACCAAAGCATTGCAATATAGCTACTCACGTAGCTAAAGGGGCCTTCATGTCCTTACTTTCGCTCGCATACGTCAGTGAAGAAAGCCCCTGTAGGCGGTCTCCAGGAAACCCCAGCAGGTTGATGATTTTGAGCAGGTTTGGGGGCACCATGGATATGCAAAGGTGAAAAAGGCCATATCCAAAGCTAACAGCACCTTTCAGTCTGTTTAGGGACTCCTCAGTCACCCCTTCAGCCACCATGTGATTATCATTTGCAGCATCAGAAGGCTCTTCAGTTAGCTTCTTTTGATACAGCTCCTGAAGGGCATTGATGTCCACATAGCACTTATTGTAAATCTTCCAGGCTTTCCTAAGGATCCACCCACCTTTTATGTATGCTAGGAAGAGAAGGGGAGAGTAGCAGTCAAAAACAGGCATTCAAAATAATTTGTGTATTTGAATAATAAAAGATATCAGAAAACAACCTGAAAAACAAGCAAAACATTTAAGACATCAAAACTATTTCCTATCACCGCACCTTGTTTTCCTCACAGTATTTAAATTTCTTATTTGTTGTTGCTGTTCTTCTCTACACCGTATGACCACTTGGCAAGAACCATGTGAGGTTTTGTTGTTGTTGTCATGTTATTACTCGTTGTTGGTTGTATCAATCCCCACAGGCAGTAGCTAGTATATAATATTTCAAGGAAGGAAGGAAAGAAAGAAGGAAGAACAGGAAGGAAGGGATGGGTAACTTGAATCCAATTTTTTTTCAGGTCTTCTGTGAAAGCCTGTACTGCTGCTCTGAACTACTATGGCCCTTCCTCATAAAAATTTTTTATAAATCTAACATTTGTGTACCCTCTATTTTCAGTCCTCCAGAGAAAATTCTTAGTCTAATTCAGCACTGAATTTATACCTAAGCACCAATCAAGGAAACCTGCAAGAAAAGAATATAAGCAAACAAGTCAAGTACCAGTGGCTCATACGTGGGAGGCTGAAATTGGGAGGATTGCAGTTCAAAGCCAGCCCAGGCAAAAATGTCTGAGACACTGCCCTCCATTCCCCACCATCTCAACAGAAAAAAAAAAGGGGGGTTGGGTTGGGCATGGTAGCATATACATGTCACATCAGCAATGGGAGGAAACATAAATAGGAGGTTTGTGGTCAGAGCATAAAGTATGACCCTATCTCAAAAATAACCAAAGTGAAAAGGGACAGGGGCATAGCTCAAGTGGTAGAGCACCTGCCTAGCAAGTATAAGGCCCTGAATTCAAACTCCAGTGCTGCCAAAAATTAAACTAAAAAAAAGAATACAAGCAAAAAGGATTAATTCACATTTATTGGGCAACAACAGCCAGTTTATTATAAAAAAATCATTCACATAAAATGCAAAGACTCCCAAATGCTCCTGTACCTGTTGCCTAATGGGTACCATCACCGTGCTTGAATGGAATGGCTTTGGTCTGTGACCATGGTGTTCAAGCAGTGACCTGGCCTAAAGAGATCCACAGTGGAGAAGGGACAAAGAAAAAGTTAACTCCACACCAGAGAGCAAAAATCTGTTACTTCCTTAAACTGCTGCCATTGTTTCCCAGTAGGACCCCAAAGAAGACTTCAAAGACAAGAGGCAGACAGAATTTAGAACCCACAGGCACCTCTCCAGGCCCCCAAATGCTGTCTTCCTTCCCTCTCAAACATTTTCACCTTCACCTGGGGTGGGGGGTTATCAATTTCTCTCTTTTTATCTATGTGTGTCATCATATATTTTGGGGGAAAGGTTTTCCGTAGGCAAATAAAGTGTCCTCAACACTACAGAAGAGAGCTCATTCTCTTGGCCCTGTTACCAACATAACAACACGACTTTGACCTTCACAAAAACAGCAACCATCCCAGACTTCCAGTTCCTCTAGAACAGCAGGAAAATAAGGTTTAAAAGTATTTTTTTTAATTGCAGAAAATCTATGATAAAAAATAAAATATGATTTACAAAACTCCAACCCCTAAATTGAAAGCAATCTAAGAATATATGGTATGTGCAGAAGAGAGCCCATTTAGCAGACCTGCTTACAAGGTGGACCCCTAGCAGGACAGGGAACTTGGACTGGACAGGAACCATCCCCAGAACTGGTAAGTGTGGCTCACCAAGTATGCCTACTTTATAATCAGTGTGGTTCATACTGAATGCCTGTGCTCCTGCGGGAGTCTTAGAATCTGAGTTGATATCCATAACATCAGCCCCCCAGTAACAACTCCAGACACCAGGTCTCTAACGAGATTCCCTACTTGGTATCATTTTATTCACGTTATCATTACTTGTTGCTGGGGAGATGAAGCATGTCCTGTGTGACTCCCACAGGAGAGGAGACCCTTGGAAGCCTGTGCTTGGCCTCCCCTAGATTCCACTCCATTCAGCTTTCTCCCCTTGCAGATTTTGCTTTGCATTCTTTTGCTGAAAGAAATCACAGCCGTGTATGCTGAGTCCTGTGACCCCCCTCCTACAGAATCATCAAACCAGGAGAAAGGTAGACTTTTACTTAGGCCTATTAATCTTCTAACAAAGGATGACCATATTGCCTATGGAAATGCAATTAATAAATCATCCTCCAAGTTCTGGGTGATTCATAATCTAGAATCTATATTCATTGAAAAGAATGCTATGAGGTTAAATGAACAAATAAAACAAATTAGTTCATAAAAGTTGGATTAGAAGGGAACTATTTTTATAACTTTATAAGCACAAAAATAATACATGTTTGAAATGTTCTATTCATTTGGTTCAACTTAACAGGAGTATTTACTGCATAAATAGTAAATTTTAGGCACTGATCAAGGTAAGTCAAGGATTAATATGACACAGATCTTTCCTTTAAGAGACTCAATGACTTTTTTTCCCTCCTAAATGGAATTTAGTGTGGGAAAACAAAGGTTTGAGAAAACCTGAAACTTCTGCATATGACAACAAAGTTCATTTTCAAGTGTTTTGACTGATCAAGCATGACTACAACCAAGAAAGGTGGCTCTGAGTTATGACCCGAAAAGCTGGAGATTTAATAGAAAAGGAGAAAAAGAAAAGTGATAGGAAACTAGAACACATATTCTTGAGAACATAAAAGCAATGGGGAATATAACTGAAAACAAATATATTGGATAGAGATTTCAAAATGAAAAAGAAAACTGGCAAAACCCCAAACATGTAAACCAGTTATTGATGACATTCCTATTATGTTCCAGGCTGTGGTGCCATCTGAGGGACAAAAAAGAACTATAACATAATTCCAGTCCTCCAAATGCCCACAATAAAATTAGAAGAAAAAACATACATTAAAAAATGAAGTAATATACTATTATATATATATATATATATAATATATATATATATATATATTTTAATGCTCTCCTGGTTTGCACAGAAAAAAATCTGAAAATAAATCATGCTGAGATCGTGAGTTGAATTTTCTTTTTGTCAGTAAATTCCATGTAACACATACATAAAAGTGAAAAATAATGTATTGCAGAATTTCAATAGAAAATTTTACTCCCTCTACCCCCATCCCTAACTGGAAATTTGGAGGGAAAAAATTAACTCCATTTTATCCTGTATTTTCCTTATTAAAGGAGGTAGAGGGCTGGAGATGTGGATCAAATGGTAGAGTGCCTACCTATCAAGTGCAAAGAACTGAGTTCAAACCACAGTGCAACCAAAAAAAAAAAAAAGGAAGTAGAGCTTAGACTGAGAGGCAGCATTCCCAGAGAGGGGAACAGTGGCAGAATGGAACAAGAATACACTGGGACCCATAGGTTGAAATATGAGTGAGGAATGAGCACCTCCTGCAGAGAAATGGGGACCTTCTAAAGTTTGGGCTGAAGGAATAGTGCTAGGGAAATGAGATGGAACAATCTAGATCTCAGCTAAAGAACTATAGAAAAGGATGGTAGCAAGGAAAATAGATTTAAAGAACCCATCAACTCCTGACTGCACTAAACTCCATCCAGTAAAAACCCCATTCTTACAGGATAAAAATGAAACAAAATGAACTTTATGTCTAAGACTGGTGCATTGGTCCCAACATTTACAAGCACACATTAACAAGCTTGTTTATTGTAAGAAGCTTGAAGACCCTCAATATGAGCCAGGGAAATAGAATCCAGTTTTAGACTCAAAGACTATAATCTGAAATATATGGAAAATAAAGTTAACAAAACATGCAGACAGAGATCTGGCTTTTACTGCTTTCTACCATCAGCTTGGCATCCAAAGAGCTTCACCAGGACTGGCCCCTATCGCTGTCCCAAATACTGTGACCCCTTGGAGGAGGTGATGGCTGTGTGAGTTGCAGCCCAGGTGCAGCTTGCTCCAGACACTGTGGCTCTACAACAGCTGTGCCCAGGCAGCCACACCCAGCAAGGTCACCAACCAATGACTGCACATCTTCCTAACACGCAGACAATACAGTATTCAAGAACCACACTACATGGGTCTCTGCCACTACTCTGAAAGGTCAAATTTAAATCATTCAGCCATCATGATCTCTGCTGGTGAAGGAACAGAGAGAACAGGAAACCACAACTATTTGCTCTGCCCTATTAGAACTGGGCCTCAGCCTGCAGGGAAATGGAGGGGAGATAGGCAGCCCCACCCCACCACCCCATCTCGGGGTGAAAGTCCTTCCTGGGAAGGGCATCTTGCTAGAAAGTGAAAGTATCCAGTTCCACTCAATTGCTCTTGGAAGGAGTTTTGCTATTTGTATCTGGTGAGAGCACCTGTCATAGCATTGTGTCTTGTCACCTGTCCTACCATGAGGCTGGGTAACCCCATAGTGGAGGGTCAGCTCAGAGTTGCCTTTCTTGTGACCCAACCAACAGATTTTGAAAGGCAAAAGCTGACTGAGTTTCCACCACTCAACCCACCTCCCCATTCACAGACATCTAAGAAACTCACTGCTCCACTCACAATTTCTTTCCTGAAATAGCATTATTCTTTCTCCAGTCCTTTCTTTAATTTGCAGAATCCAAACATTCACCACATGCTAGACAGAAGCACCAAATCAAGAGTCAGGGAGAGACAGAAGGAAATGGAACTTTCTTTTTTTATTTTTTTCAGCACTGGGGTTTGAACTCAGGGCCTTGCACTTGCTAGACAAGTGTTCTACTATTTGAGCCATGCTACCAGCCCTTTTGGCATTAAGGCTTGTTTTATTTTGTTCTGTTTTGTTTTTTCACATAGTGTCTCATGTTCTTTGTTTTTTCCTTAGTGCTGGCCTTGGACTCAGTCCTCCCACCTATGGACTCTGGCATGCTGGGAATTACAGGTATGAGTCACTATGCCTGGCTGGACTTTCATTCTTTGGAATTGTGCGGGAACAGGATCATGGGTCCTTGACCTTCCCAAAGGTTCAAAATCACCTGTTCCCTGCACCTGTCACTTGACAGCATCTGACACCTAGAAAGTGCTCAACACATGTGGGAAAAGAGGAAACAGCAGGCAGACCAACAGAGTCCCTCCCCTCACAGAGCTTGCTGTCTTATATTTTAGGCCGAAGTATAAATAAGAATGTGTATTTCTAGGTGATAACTGCTCTGACTGGCTACAGACAGAGCAGGCACCCATAGGTAGAAGGCCTGGGCTGCACTTGATTAGGCAAGAGAACAAAAAAGGGTAGAGCTTTTCCAGGTGGGGGCAGCATGAACAAAGGCACGACTCTGACAATGCATTCAGGGAACCCTGAGGAGTTCTACTCAGCCAGACTTTGCAATGGGAGGCAGGACACTGGGAAAAGGACTGGTGTCACCAAAGGAAGGGACGTGGACTCAACCTTGAAGGTGATACAGAACAGCTGAGTATTTAAAGCTCAGGTGTGTGCTACATCTTAGGAAGAAGGTTCTAGGGGCAATGCAGAGAAAGTGGTGGGAGAAGAAAGTGGGAGAACAACAGACTGCTAGTCTATTCCAGGACTAGTGACACAGGATATATGGGATAAGTAGAGGCAAAGGTCTGAGAAACCCAGACTTAAGGTGGCAGACAAAAAGTGAGAACACTAGGAATTCAGTTATGAAACAAGAAAACCATGGCGCTTCTTTCATCCCTCAGAAGCTGTGTACAGTACTCTATCTCAACCAAATCATTCACCTTCGCCTGTCTCTGGAAAAGAAAGAGAACAATCTAATTTGAAGAAAACTTGCTGAGTATTCATTATGCCTAGAACACAAAGACTTGGAAGTCATGGGACTTACCTTTAAATCCAAAACGAAATAAGGGAAACTATTAATAAAGTCAGCACAAGTGCCATAAAATAGGTTTTTAAAGTAACTTATTACAAAAATTATATGCTCACTATACTCACTGCAAAAATAAAAAAGGACACTTGTGTCATAGAATTATAAAGATATAAGGTAGTATGGGAAAATGAAGAGAAATGATGGGACAATTCATTAAAAGGAAATTCAAATAAGGCAAACATAAGAGTTCTTCTAAAAATACAAAGCATTAGAAAAGTCATCCCCATCCCCATCCTGAACTCTGGTCAATACACCCCCCAGGTGACTCTATATGCCACCTGCTCAAGGTGGGGGAGGGACACCTAGAACAAATGTCTCCAAGAGGGAGGTCTTCATTTTTGTCTTTTTCCAAGAAAATTATCCATCTAAAATACTTTCAAAGACAACACTTCCAACAATAAATAAATTAGTCATATTTTAACAACCTATCAGATATCTAAAAAAGTAAATGAAGCACATTGTCAGCTGTTTGTTTGAAACAAATACTCAGCTTATCATAAAGCAAACTACCATGACATATACTTATTAGCACCTGAGGTTTTTATGCCTGTGAGATCTCAGTCAATATCACATTCAACAAATCATAGGGCTTCAGAAAAACCAAGAGTGCTATGATAACAGGATTCAATAGTTGATTAAAATCAAACTATTAGAAGAATGGGTAATGGCCAGGAAGGCAATCCGTGAGAGAAATACAGTTTATGGCAGAAATAAAAAATGGCTACAGTGCAATTCAGTAGTAAAGTGTCTGCTTAGCACAAACGAAGCCACAAGTTCAATCCCCAGTACCACAAAAATGTTAATTAAAATAAAAACAGACTGAACCACATTAATAAACCAAAAAAAAAAAACCACAGCAAAGAACATCCAAATGTCCATGAAAAAATTTTTAAATTAAGCAGACGAAGCTGGTGGCTAAGGCCTGTAATCCTAGCTACTAGAGGCAGAGATAAGAAGGATCACAGTTCAAGGCCAGCCCGGGGAAAGAGTTTGTGAGACCCTATCTTGAAAAAACCCTTCACAAAAAAGGGCTGGTGGCTCAAGGTGTTGGCCCTGAGTTCAAACCCCAGTACCGCAAAAAAAAAAAAAAAAAAGAAAAAAAAAAGTAAATTAATTCTTGCCTATCTATATGATAAACTAATATGCTATTATTAAAAATTTTTATTGTGAAACTGAGTCATACGAAAATATTTAAAATACAATCTAGGAGGGAAAGATAGGATACAAAAAAAAAAAGCATACACAGATTATCAGCAAGAGTGATTTTTTTCCACATGCAGAAATTAGAGGATGAAGAAGTGCCTTCTTGTGCACTTCTTCATCTTTTCAAAATTTTCCATAATAATAGTTAGTGATTTTACAACTGGAATTATTTCAGAAATAAATAATACAATGTGATGATTGTAAACTTCACATGGGCAGAGACCCTGGCCCATGTCTGACACCTAGCACACTGGGGGGCCCACAGTGTGAGCTCTAGAATTGCTGAATAAATCAATGAGTTAACAAATGAGGACAGATATACTCATTTCTTAACTTTTGATATACCTTCACATTTGAACATTTTAACCACTTTTGCTTTATCCTTCTCTCTTTTAATTAAGAGAAGGGATCTCCTGGTTTCCTAGTTTGGCCCTGAACTCCTGGGCTCAAGGGATCCTGCTTTGAGCATCCTTTCAAGTAGCTGGGACTTGGGCACATGTCACCACCCCTGGCTGTCATTCATTCTTAACAGATATTTTCTTAGCAGCTACATTTTCCTTCTCACAAGAGTCCTTGAGTATCAGGAAAAAGCTGTATAAAAATACAAAAGACCAAAGAATCAGAATATGATCCAGTGTTCTTGTGTATCCCAGTCACTGTGAGCTCCAAACAGGGATTTTACACTACTGCATTACAGGGGATTCACATGCACGATGAGCTCTCAACCATGTAAGTAAGGTGTTGAGAAAGTAATAAGAAGGAGGTTACAAGAAAAGCAAATGGTAAAAGCACATCACAGGACATATTTTAAAAGAAGAATAGGGGCTGGGCATGGTGAGAAATGCCTGTAATCCCAGCTGCTTGGGAGAGCAGGAGCATAGAAATTTGAGGCCAGCTTGGGCAAAAAGCTTGCAAGACTATCTCAACAAATAAGCTAGGTGTGGTGGTTCACCCTGTAATCTCACCTACAAGGGAGGTGTAAATAGGAGGGTCATGATCAGAGACCAGTCCTGGGCAAAGATGTGAGGCTCTGTCTAAAAAGTAACTAAAGCACAAAGGGCAGGAGATATGGCTCAAGTGATCTAGCAAGTACTGCCAAAAAAAAAATTTTAAGCAAAAAATAAATATAAGAATAATAAATTCTAGGAAGCCCAAATTTTAGAAGTCAAAATAAAAAATAAATTCTACTCTTTACTTGAGCTAAATAGAAACAAAACATCCTCAAGTATGAATCAGAGAGAGAAAGAGAAAAGAAAAGGGGAAAACTGGTTTCTGGTTATATAAGAAAGAAAAATATAAATTATAATCTAGCAGAAATATGTCCTTCTTTATCTAAGGTTCGGAGAAAATGCTTTTCAGAATTTGAACTGATTGACTTATTTCCACTTAGAATTTTTCTTTTTTTAAAGGAAATCCTATCTACTAAAGTGGCAGGTTCCTGCTGTCAGGATCCCAGAGACAGACCACACAGGAAAATGATTAGGTAGATTTCAGACACACACTTAAAACAAGCTAGCACAGACTCAGGTGCATCTGTTCCACTGAAGAAGTTAAAGCTACAAAAGCCTAGAAAACATTTGTCTTAGAAAAACTAATTAAGAAATTAGTTTACACCCCTTGCTAAAGGTTGTTACAATGCCAGTAATTCAAGTCCATTAGGAAATCGTTAAAGAAAATCCTGAAACCATTTTCTGAAAAACTTAAATTTAAACCAGTTAAATTACAAAGATTACTATCAAAACTTGATTTCCACACACAAAAAAAACTATTATACGTCTACCTATATTTAAAGGCACTAGTAATTTCTCTAAATAAGACAGAATGATCTTGACACAAGAGGATGAAACACAGACTTTAGGACTAAAACTAGTCTGTGCAACACATATTAAGCACTTGTGGTTTCAATTTCCCAAGTAACAAACCAGTATCACTCACCAAATAGATGCCACATGTTTTCAAAGACTGACATATGAAGTGGTCTAAAAAAAGAGTATTACTGACTGTGTCTCTGAATACCAAACGCCATTACAAACAACACTGAAGCATACCTGACAACTCTTGCTTCACAAAGGAAAGCACAGCCAGGTAAACTTGACAGTCAGCTATGATTATTTGTCTCTGAAGTCGATCAACCACAGAGGGGGCAGATTTTCGAACATCAACCTGTTTGGTAGGAAGAAAATGCACACTGATAAATCACACACAAGGACAACACACACCCCCAAAAATTGTTACTTTATGGGACAAAATAATTTCCCACAGAAATTGCAAAACAGGGCACCCACTCAAAGTCAAGATCAAATTTATGCTAGAATCCTGACAGATTTTCTGTACTTCTATTATCTCCAGGTTTGCCAACAACATAATACTAAAGAAATTTATCATTTCTAAATGATAAAAACTAAATGATTTGTAGGAAACATGAAAAGCAGCACAAAACTTTAGAGGTTCGCCTGCTTTTTAAACATTATTCTTATTTATCCAAAATAAAAGCATTACCCAAGATACAATGCATTACCCAAAGCAGATAATCTGACATGTCATTTTATAGCTATTTATCTTCAGGTAGGACTAATACATTCTTTTGGTGCATGCAATTGAGATGTGTGGAACTGATTACATTTGCATTGAAAAAAAATACCTTCGAATTAAAAGTAAGTTTTGAACAAATGAATTATATGACTTGGAATTCAAGTCATATAAGTAAAAATAAGCAAAAAGTCAGTATCACTGTTTAAAAAACATATTGGCCACCAGGTACCAGGCTCATGTCTGTAATCCCAGGTACTTGGGAGACTGTGATTTGGAGGATCACAGTTTGAGACCAGCCCAGGCAAATACTTTACAAGACCCCATGCCAAAATAATCAATTCAAAATGAACTGGAGATGTTATTCAAGTGGTAGAGCACCTGCTTTGTAAGCACAGAGCCCTGAGTTCAAATCCCAGTCTCACGCCCCTCCTCCCCCAAAAAAGGAAAAAAGTTGTCCTTTATCATAAAGAATGTTTCCAAAATGAATAAGGATCACTGTGGCATAGACCACTGAATTTTTTTTCCTTTGGTATGTTTTTAAGACACAATCTTGTTAATTAGCCCAGACTGGCCTGAACTCTGGGTCTTCCTGCCTCTGCTTCCTGAGTTCTATGATTACAGAACGGCACCACCACACCTAGCTACTACATTTTGGTTTTCGGTACTGGGGTTTCAACTCAGGGCCTACACCTTGAGCCACTCCATCAGCTCTTTTTCACAAAGGGTTTTTTTCAAGATAGGGTCTCAAATAGCCATCATTAGCAACACCCCCAACAACAGCTGTTGGTGAGGATGCAGGGAAAAAGGAACCCTCTTACACTGTCGGTGGGAATGTAAACTAGTACAACCACTCTGGAAAAAAATTTGGAGGCTACTTAAAAAGCTAAACATTG